ATTATTATTATTATTATTATTATTATTCTCAACTTCAGTCAGCACACAGATCTCAACATATCACTACCAGCAACACAAATACCAAGAGAAAACGTTATTACCTGTAACACAAGAGACGACTGAGTAATCCCCACCTCACACTGCGCATGAGGGTGGCGTTACCCACGCGAGCATCGCGCAAACTTAACATCAACATCCCGACAAGAAAGAGACTGTGCCGGAGGATCTAACACAATAAAAATGTACCAACCTCTGCTTGTTTGCACCACACGCTGATGTTCTTACGCTGAGCTTTCGTGAAATGGTCCCAAGCCTTTTGTTTGGAGGCAGAATGGTACACGGCCACTATCTGCTCGACTGCAGTATCAACCCAGCAGGCAAATCAGGCCAGAATATCATCCAGAGAGGGCGAACAAAGAGGAGTAAAGGAGTAAAAAAGTGGAATCAGGCAGGCGGTTTGGCTAACCTTTTCTTATAACACCGTCCCGTGCTGAAGCTACGCTCAGGAAAGGGGCTCAGCGCCTGGAAAGAAAAGCGTGGGCTACCCCGGGCTGGCGCCCAACGCCCACGGAGCGGCCGGGAAACCGGCGCCCGCTCTCAGCCAGGAACAAGGCAGGTGCCGAAAAATATTCAAACGTGCCGCGTAACGCCGCCGGCGAGGGCGAGGGGCACCAGCTCCCCACATCAGGGTGGTTACAGTTGAGCAGCAGTGGCGCCAGGGAACGGCGCTTCTCTCGTTCCCGGTATTTATTCCTTCTACTCCTTACATCAAATTTGCGGAGGTTTTTGGAAACCTGCACAAGGAGCGCCTCTCCTCGGGTGAAAACTCGCCCAACAGCAGCAAGCGCGTCGACCCGATTCGTAGGGTTGTGTGGCTTTGAGGTATTTCCACACTCGTGGTGTGGTGGCAAGGCAGAATTCTGACAAAACAAAATCATCTCTCGGCTACTCAGATGAACCCGAGAGCAGCCGAGATCCCAGTGGGCGTGTAACAGAGCAGAGCCACGCGCTACTGTCTGTTACTACTTACTCTGCAACGCTTTCTGTATTTCCCTCTGGACCATGTGCCCACATTTTTATTAAGATCGAAATTTAATTGAAAAAAACCACAACTACAAAACCAGAGCCAAAACTGTCAAATACGAAATCAAAAGTTAAGAACGTTCCCAACCTAGCCAAGGGGCTGGAGGAGACTCAGTACAACTGCAGAGAAGCTACTCAGAAAGGTGCTCTCAGGGAAAAAAAGAAAAAAAATAGACTTACTAATGAAAGAATGTGTAAGAGGAACCGTTATAAATTTTATCTTGGAGCTCAAATAGCCCACGCTACTTCCTCAGGTTCATGGTTTAATAAAGCACTGGGACTTGAGAGCCCCAGGCCAGCGCTGCTGTTCTGCACCAGGTGTCGGCTGTGCCCGAGAGCGGGGTGAGGGAACGCTCTGCTGCATCCTACCTTTGGCGACTAAATCCCGCAGGCTTTGCTGAGGCACCACATACCAGGAACTTACCTTGTCTGTGCACGGAAATGGAGGTGAAAAGATGACAGAACTACTAACAGACCATAATTAAAAGAGGAAAAAAAAATTACGAATTCATTCTCTCCTCGCCCCAGCATGGACACTTACTCCTTTAAAAAGTACCACCAGAAACCTGTCCCGTTAACGACACGTGCTTATAAATTAACTGTAGCTAACAGCAACTGCTCCTTCTCCTGGAGCCCTTTCAGTGCGGCCTCTCCAGACTCTAAAAATTACGTGTCTTCCCGACCACAAGAGACAACCAGCGCTTGGCTCGGAAACACTACTCACACTGAACCAGAATCCCCGAGAGCGCGAGTTTGAATTTCTCTTTAGCTTCTTCCATCTCTTTCTCATGAGCCGCCTTCTCGTTGACCAGCCTGCGGATGTGGCTGTTGGCCGACTGGATCATGGAGTAGAAGTTGTTGGCGGTCCTCCTGTTCACCTCCCCACGCTCTATCCAGGTCAGCAAGGTCTGGATGGCTTCCAAGAACTTTGTGTCATCTGCAGCAAGGAAGGACACCCTCACACCACAGAAATACAGGGTCACGCACGCAGCTTTTGGGTCCTTTCCCTGGCACCGCTCCACCGCTCTTTTGACGGCCAACTTCAGGCAGCTACCTGCAATTCCTGAGAGCACAGCGTTACCCAGTGCAAGCTACACCAAGGAAGGCAAAGTCTGAGCTGTTGAGGTGCGACAAGACAGGACCTACTGCTAGAAACCTACTGGAAAACTTCCAGTGTAGCCTTTCATGAAAGAAAATATCCTCCAGCTCCAAAACAAGCAGCCCGTGTGTGGGTCTTAGGCTTCAAAGAAGGTCTTAGGACTTACACCAGCCCTTTCAGCATGAAGAAACTATTGTAACCAAGTGTGAGTTTGTTTTTACAAGAGGACACACAATTCCGAAAAGGAGATGGCTAGGAGAGCCGCTGCGTGCAGGCTGAGGGCCCAGCGGGCTCCAGACAGCATTTTTTTTTTAAGCAAGCCGACCGCTGGAGAACCCCGCCCAGGAGGGTGGCCGTGGCCCTACAGAACCACTCACCTTTCAGCTTCTCGGCGACGACGCTGCACTCGTGGTCGGAGTAATGGACGACGGGCGGCGGGGAGGGCGTTTTTTTTTGGCGCTCCTCCCTGGCCAGCATGCGCTGCTTGCACTCCCACTCGTACAGGTCGTCCCGTGCCTGAGCAAAATCCACGTGCAGGCGCCCCGTGTCCTTCTTGTCCGTGCTGGAGCCCAGCCTGATGCGATAGCCTGGCGGCAATGAGCGCAGCGGTCAGACAGGGCAGGCGACCCTCCCTCAGGCTCCAACCACCCGCCAGCGCCCGTCTCATCCCTACAGAGCCAGAAAGCCCCGGAGCAGAAGAGTTTATCGAAGAGTTTAGTGCAGAGAGAGCAATACTGGAAAAGAAAACGTCGTTGGGGGGTTGCTGCTATCTGCCTGTGTCTCACACATGCTGGGCAAGATCTTACAGGGGTTGTTCCTCCTCTAAACACCAGTAGGTGCTGGGGCTCAAAGAGCAACTGTTTAACCTCTCAGGTTAGCTGGGGAAGGCAGAACTGCCTCGGGTTCTTCCACACTTTCACAAACTCCAGACGTCGGGGATGGGAAGGGGAGAATGAGAGGTGAGACACGGCCAGGAGGGCAGCACTAATATTTGGAAGAGCCTCCACCATCCCTGGGAGAGGGAGTAAGGTCAGCAAACGTGCATGCCCACCGTGTGGGAACGCTGCTCACCAGCACCGTATGCTGGACTCCCTTCTCTGGAGCTAGAAAGCTCTCCTCCGCGATTAAGAGAGGCACAGGTGGGACACACAGAAGAAAACCTGAACTGCAGAGAGATTTTTGTACAAAAGAACAAACCCAAAAATAATGCCTGCGTGTGGAGGACACCAATGACTGCGCACACCTGCATGTCTTTGGGCAGGAGGAACTGTAAACAGAGAATACAGAGGAGGCTGCCCTGGCTCTGCAGAAGGGGTAACCCCAAAGAGACGCCGCTCCGACCAACAGGGACTGCCAGTCCAGTTCGGTCTCCAGAACAAGACGCGATGCTTACAACCAGTCAAAAGACTACAGAGAAGTTTCCACTATTTTCACGAGCAAACAGCAATTCCCTCACTTATCTCGGTGATCTCGTCTCTCTGGAGGACCGCGGGCTTTGGAGGCAGTGCCCTTGCTTGGTACTGTATGGACAGAATGGCTTCAGAAGGGATTTTAGCATGGAAATAGAAAGCATTACGCTGTTTTTCTATAACTGTAGAGTCAAGTGGAGGTCTCTGTCCTCCACAAAACGAACCTCTTGAAACCCGACAGGGGCAGAAGAGGGGCTCCCTAGGCAAAAGGGGCCCAGGTGTTTCAGCTCTGATGACTAACAGGGAACAAAAAAACGATTAAAAAAATCAAGCACATCATCCAGTTAAGAAGCAACTGTGAGCAACAGCAAAATTTTTATAGGACCCTTAAACGCAACCTACAGAACCAGCTGGGTATTTGTTCACCCAGGTAAGAAGGAGTCTAACTGTGCCTCATCCTGACATTTTGTGGAGGGCTGCAGTATCCAAGGTAACACAACACTCCTATCGTTCCCATCAGGAGCTCTTTTCATGTATTTAAGCAGAAAGGCAACAGCAGCAGAAAAAGAGGCAAACTGACACAATACCAGACCAGCCTCCCAATAGCAGCAGAGCTTATCCTTGTACCTATAAAGAAACTGTTACATCTCTCATGCCAGGATTTCGAGCTGCAGAGACAGACAGACACGTACCTGAGAGATAAAGCGCCTTGTCCACCATGAACTCCTCGGCGAAGCGGATATGGCAGAAGTTCTTCTTACTCTTTCGAATAGCTATGACCTCCCCGCACTGCTCAAACACCTCCATAATGATCTGCTCGGTCCCGTTCTCCGGCAGCCCTCCCACAAACACCGTCTTACACCCCGGGGGCCTCTCTCTTGTTGCCGGAGGGGGAAGATCTGAAGGGAGCAAGAGAGAGAGAAAGCAGACCAGGTGAGTTTGGGGTCTGCCAGCACGCGTTCCTTCCTTCTGCCCACCTCTCCCGAGGTGACCGTACCCTCCTGGCCTCCTGCAAACGCCCACCTGGCCACGCTCCATTCGACTTTACCAATCAGTAGATTTATAGCATGAGAGTAAGCACATTTACCAGCCTGTTTCCAAAAAGTTCTCAAGAGCCTGAAGCCCTCCTGACACTCTGCCCAGCACAAGCCAAGGCTCCTCTGAGCATCTGTGGCAGAACATGAGCGGGACAAGACTTCAGCACTTTATCACGAGAGGCTCTACGCAAGCACAGCCTAAAGGACTGTCTGAACGTAAAGATGGCACAGAAAATGAATACAGAGGATCCTAAAGGGCAAAAAGACCCTCCCAACTCAGCACGTGACACCTGAGAAGAAGGATTATGCTCTTGTTGCCTGGCGTTTCTTAACAGCTGGGAAACCCTGAAGGCATTTCAGTGCTGAGATCTATCGCCCCTGGCCCAGTTCACAGAACAGCACTACTTCCACATCCATTTAACCAAACACTTGCATTACATTTTTTTACTTCTCTGGCACGTCTGCAGCAAACTCCTTCCAAAAGTGGTAATTAGGATTATTTTCTTTTGGCTTGGAATTGGCTCCTTCTGGTTCCCACGTCGAGCCTGACCTGCAGCTGACCTGCCACAGCCGTGAAACTACGCCAGGCTGGGCACTGCGAGGGTCTGAAGGGAGATGCGGGGCAGGGGAGCAGCTCAGGCTCTGCGCTGGGAGCCCCCCAGGCGTGGGTGCCGTCTGCTGGCACCTTCTCCCCAGGAAGGACGTGCAGACACACAGCTACCAACGCCTCTGCGACTGCCCCGCACAACGAAAGCGTCTTGTTTCCAGCTTCTGAGAAAAGACGCACAAGCCCCTGTTCTGGCATCAGTGATTTCAAGTCCCTGTTCTGGCATTGGTGATTTCGAGGCTGCGCTGTGCCGACGCCGTGCTCACGCTCCTGCCTTCCCCCACGGGCAATTCCTGTCCATCTGATACTCAAGAATGAATCGTTAATGCTTTAGGGGGAGGAACATTCCTCACCCCCTGCTCAGCTGGCAGCAAGCACAGCTCCCACTTACTCTTCCTGGAAGAT